CTCTCTCTCTCTCTCTCTCTCTCTCTCTCTCTCTCTCTCTCTCTCTCTCTCTCTCTCTCTCTCTCTTTCTGTGTGTGTGTGTGTGTGTGTGTGTGGGTTCGAAGACGCGGAATGTTAGCATGCAAGTCAATGACAGGGGTCTGAGGGGTGTTCACTGTTCTACAAAAAGGAAAAATATGTGGACGCAGACGAGTAGAATAACCCGGCAGGGCCGGCACTAACCGGGCCCCCCGGCCAGTCAGCTCAAAGATGATATCTCAAGGCTGCCAACCTTGTTGACAAAAAAACAAGAAAAAAAAAAGTAGGCGTGTCAACGCAAATGAAGATCAGACAGATCATTGAAAACTTCCGCAAAGACTGGCTGGGCGGGGAACAAGGAGGTTGGATTGCAAAGGTTGTGTGGAAAGTAAGGGAGAGGAGGGGGATGAAGTTGGGGATGGGGAAAGAGACTACCACCTATGCTTTCATGACTGGACGAAGATTGACCCCTCGCTCCCGCTTCGGCCGATGTCAGATTTCATGGAGTTTTTCCGGCCTTCACCCTTGGCGCTGGTGGACATGGAATGGTATGGGGGGGGTAATGGGTAAAATAGCAGAACGAGGGTAAGAGGGACAGAGGGTAAGGGGTAGAGCAAGGATGGAACGGGTTGATAGGGGGTGAGAGGAACTTGTAGGTAGCAGCATGTATCTGGCGCCGGGCTCAAGGCGTAGCAGGAATCTCCCATTTTGTTTCTCTGCTGTACTCTGAATTCAGTGTGTATAAGGGACGCTTGACCCGGTTTCCAGCAGGTGATGCTCCCCACCAATAGATGGAGCCTCTCCCCTGGTGTTAGTGGTGTCAGCTCCTATAAGCACCACTAACATTGGAGGGTGTGTGTGTGTGTGTGTGTTTATAAATAAAATAAAAAATAAAAAAATGAAGTGTCTCGGATGCTTGGACTCGCTAACCATTCTGGCAGACGGACTCTTCCTCCTCTCGCTCATTCAGAAGCGGAATGGTCAGTGAGTGATTGAAGTTATCATGATCATGATCAATGGAAGTCGATTTGTGGTGGCAGCTTTTGCTGGAGTCTGTCTTGAGAGTGCCCACTGCATCCTTATTTCTGTGATCATCAGGAGGAATTACAGTGTGACCCCGAGACTGTTTCACAAGCAGCTGTGCTCTCTCTGCCTCAGCCTCCCAGTCGCACAAGACAATGCTTGTTGCAATCGCAGCGAGTGCACATGCCTCACCTACACTGAGTCCGCACCAGAGGCCAGAAACTCCCTTGTGCCATAGGAAACCTAGGCAGATGGACATTGGCAATCCAATAACGTAGAAGGCCACAAACGTCACTCGGAGCAGAATGTCGGGCCGAGCACATCCGCGTAAAATTCCAGCACCCACATTTAGTGGAGACGAAAAGGCCTGCACAATCCCAACCAGCGGGGCGACCTTCGCAATAAGCAGCTGCACAGAGACTATATCTGTAAATAGCCATGCCACGTGGTAGCGAAGGAGTGAGAAAGTTAGGATGCCAAGCACACCGAACACGAGGCCTATGGACCAAGCCACATAGGCCGCAAGATGAGCCGCTGATGGGTTGTTCGCTCCAAGCTCAATCCCAACTCGTGTTGATGCCGACACACTGATGCCCACAGGGATCATCGTGAATATGTATGCGCAGTTCAACAAGATCGACATCGTGGCTACAGTCGTACCTGGATCTGGAAGCAGACCGGCAAAAATAGTGAAGACCTCGAAGGTCCACCACTCCACAGAAAATCCTATACAAGCAGGCAAAGCAAGCCTCAGAATGGGTCCCCACCCTTTCGTGCACTCCCATGACCAGCCGGACCATTTGCCGGGCCCGTCTTTGGGCGTGATCAGCCAGATGGTAATCACAAGCATGCAAGCAAAGCAGAAGTCTGTGCAAACTGTAGATAAGGCAGCACCTCTGTAGCCAAGACCAGCCTTGGTGATGAAGAGGTAATTCAGTGGGATGTGGATGACAAGTGATATGCCTGCACATACTGAAAGTGGTATCGTGATGCATTGCGAGCGCAGGTATGTTCTCATCGGTACCATACACCCATAGACAAGAAGATCTGGGATAGAGACCAACACGTAGTTGCTCGCCACAGCAGCAATTTCAGGGTCTTGTCCCAAGAGGATAAGAATCCTTTCCATGTTGAGCCAGATTGAGACAATGATGAGTGCGCAAGCACATTCAAGAATGAGAATAGCACGCTGCAATGTCAGCTGAAGGAGCTTGTAGTTGCGAGCACCGTACGCCTGAGCAAGGATAGGATCCACTCCAGCTGCCATCCCGATTATTATGAAATAGCCCGTTACGTTGATGATTCCCATAGCAAGGCCACCCCCAGCTAGATCAGTCTTTCCTAGATGACCAAGATACACTGTGGACACAAGCACCCTGCTGTACCACAGGACGTTTGCCAGTGACGTAGGTGCTGCAAGGGCGAACACCGTTTTGAGCTCTACCCATATCCCACTGGAATTGAACAATCTCGGCAATCGATGGACAGCGTCGCCGTCCCATACATTGGCCAGATATTGTGGAAGTTGTCGTGATTCCCAGTTTTCCAAATTGCCTTCCTTGATATTGACGAGAACAGGGTTACCATTGCTGGCCACAGGCTTGACATCGTAGTTTGCCCTTTCGGGCCTTTCCTTTTCCTTCACTGGAGCATCAGTATCGGTTTCTGTGCCGCCCTCAGGTAGTACCGCTTTCTTGATCACCGCCTCCATCAGATTCTGGTCTGTTTCTTTCTTATTTTGCAGCCGGAATCGCTGCCTGCTCCTCACAGGTCAGAACCTGTCAGATATGGTCCCGAACTGATGGACCAGGTTCGGTAAACGTCTCAGACAAACGAACGTGGAGAAGCCGTGGAGAAGCCGTTGGTACCATGGGACTTATTCCAAGCCATTGGCACCATGGGACTTAGGCCCGGTTTATGATTCATGCCTTTGTTCAGATTGAAGGCTTCATGCCTTTTGCTGGGTTGAAGAGGAGATGCAAGGTGCCGGTGAGACACCCTATCACAATCAGTCCTGGACCAGAAATTGGGCCTTGATTGTCGTGAGCTCTAACCTCACCTTATTGCCAAGTCCGGGACGCTGGATTCTACAGAAAATGCTCGCAGTGGTGCTCTACAGCATGATTGAGCCTCTTGATCCTTTGGCAATCTGCAAAACAGAATTTTCACCGAGGTGGTTCAGGATTCATATGTGTCAGGTATAGTTCCCATTGCATCCTTCATTCATTCCTTTGACTCACAGTTCAGGGGAGGAAGATGGTGAAAACCGGAGATGAGATGATGAGTCTTAAGTGATGCATTGTGTGCACCATGCCGAGAAGTTGTAAACATCAGCACAGCGGAGCTGGTCTGGATCTCGGGCTCGGTTGGTTGATTCCTTTTGTTTTTCTAACAAGTGGGTGCCCGCCGTGTCGCACACCAGCTCCTCTTCCCCGTCTTCCTCTGCCACTTGATGCTCCTGCGGTCTGCCCATGCTGCTCTGTCACCTCCTTCGCCATGTTCTTCTCCTCCTCCTCCTCCCTGTCTCCTCCTCCTGCCCCTCCTCCTCCTCTGCTATCTATCCAGCTCATAAAGAAGACAGGCCTTACATTAAAAAAAACTAAGTCCAACTCCTGATTTATGCAGCAAATGAAGAAAACAGGCACAAAAAAACGAGTTAGAATTGCACTATGGGGCAAGATACAGTTTGCAATTGCACTTCAGGCACCCTACCTGGCCAGAAAGTTGGGTTGTATACATTGCCCGAAATGCACTTCGAAACTGTATCTTGGCCCGTAGTGCAATTATAACTCTTTTTTTTTTTTTTTTTTTTTTCCGGGGTGATCACAACTGTCTATATTCTTCTCTCAACTTCTGTTTGTTTGCCTTCCACTACCTACTCCTAAGACTATCTAGAGGGGACCCCTGCAAGCATAGTTTTCCTCTCTCTGTGAAGGGAAGATTTCATGTTGCCCCTTGCCCCTAATGGTTAGGGTATAGGGTTGGGTTGTATGTGGGTATCAGTTTTTACAGTTTTGCTCCTTCCTGGACTCCAGGCCCATTCCGCCGGGTCGAATTCCAGGTCCTGGATTGCTGTATCTGACCTGAAAATTGTTTTGGGCCACGAACCGGTGACTCTTACTTTCCTGAAGAGGAACATATCGAGAACCACTTCTTCTACATCCTTGTTCAGGATGGAAACAGAATTGTGTGCTGACCGGATGACTGGAAAGGCTGTGAAGGCAGCCAAGGTCTGCGAGCCCTGCTGCTTATGGGAGAATCAGTAGGCCTTCAAAGGGGACTGTTCTTGTGTCTTGACTCCCCACTCCCCCGTTTTCCAGGTCGGTGCTTCTGTTAGTCTTTCTTTCCGTCCTTCCGGGATGCATTTGATTATTGTTTGTAGGTTCTCCTACCTTGCTCTCCTTCTTAATACTTAGATAATAGAAAAATCATCAGCAATTATATGGAAGCCTTCTCACTCAGCTTCCACCCCATACCATTGAAGATCAACTAAAGCCAGATCTGAAGGTGAGAAAAAATCAGGAAATAGATCCGGGGATCTCAAAGAAACTCCGGATTGAATATCAAACCAGTTGTAAAAGAAGATGTCGTAGTTCCTCTTGAACTCTGCATCTCCTTCCCCGTCAGGCCATTTGATTTCCCCCAGATTCTCCCCTGAAGAATCCCCCAGCCAGTTATTCTGAAAATTTTGCAGAGTTTTCTTAATGTCTTGTTTTTGGTTTAGTGACTTGAGTATAATTTTGACTTTGCACCATTGTGCTCTAATTTCTGTCTGTACAAAATTTTGGATTACGTCTGAAACTTCTGGACCATCAATTATTACCCTCTCCCAAGAAAGCACACACCTTCTAAACCACAATGCCCGAAGTACTGCTTTCCTACGAATATGGAATAAATTGGTTTGAAATTCTGATAAATTCTGGCGCAGCGCTACCGGGAGCGCTGCGCCCCGGCATCAACCGCGGCGGCAGACTGAGGCGGCGAAGCGGGAGGGTGCCCGGCTTGCATCACTCTCGCTTTGAAGTAACCATACGAACGAACTAAGGCGGGGCGATGGCGTGATGGAGACGCTGGTGGGGTTAAGGGGAGTTACTGGACAGCGTGTCGAGCTTACAGCGGCTACCTATTAAGCGTTTCGCGCACGCGCGGGGAGCAAAGGTGCTGGTCTACACCGTATCACGAGTTGATAGGGAGAACTAGACTGACTCCCGGGGGCTTCCTGGGAGTTCCGCGTCCATACTCCATTGCTGCTGCGTTTCTGCCCGTGGCATAGAGCCTGTTGAGGTGTCGCCTCTGGTGATGCCTGTGGAGTGTAGCGGAGAGAGCCTTGGGCAACCCGAAGTGCGAGTGAAGTGACTGCCTGTCATCACCGGTGTCTTCGTTTATCGCCATCATCATTTCTACGTGATCATTACGTCGCCGTATCATCATCATCCTCCTCATCATCATCATCATCAGCATCATCAGCATCATCAGCATCATCAGCAGGGTGCAGCTCATCATCACCTTCATCAGGGCGCTGGGCGCCATCATCATCAGAGCGCTGGGCGCTGTTCGTCATTGAGCTGATGCTCGTCATCATCAGCATCACGGTTGGTCGGTATCATCACTAGCAGCAGCATTAACGTCATCGTGTGCGTGGTCGTCAGGATGATGGGCGTCATCATCATCAGGGCAAGGGGCGCTGTTCGTCATCATCATCAGGGCAAGGGGCGTTGTGCGTCATCAAGCTGAGTTTCGTTATCAACAGCGTCAAGGGGGTGATTCGTCGTCACTATCATCCTTCATCATCATCATCATCATCGTTATCATCACTGTCAGGGAGCGTTTCGTCACCGCCATCCACCATCATCATCGTCATTATCATCATCATCATCATCATCATCATCACCATCATCATCATCATCATCATCATCATCAAAATCAGTATCATCGCGCATCATCATCAAGGGTTGTCGGGATTATCATCAGTAGGGTGCTGCTCGTCATCATCATCACCAGCAGCAACACCAACGTCATCAACAGGAGGTGAGTTATCTGATCGCAGGGCGCTGGGCGTCATCGTCGTCATCACCATCATCATCATCATCATCACCATCATCACCATCATCATCATCATCATCACCATCATTATCTTCGAAATCAGTATCATCACCATCACCATCATCATCATCATCATCATCAATCATCTGAAAATCGGTTAGTCTCAGGTTGCCTTTTTCGGCTTCACGTACATCCCGATTAGCTACATCTTGGTTACTCATATCTAGATCACCTATATCTTGATTACCTAGATTTTGATTACTCACTTCTCGATAATACTTCCATCATCATCACTACCATCATCAATACTAATATCATCTGAATGTTTTTCGGTCTCAGGGTACCGTTTTTGGTTACCCAATTATCTAATAGCCATTAATAATAACATCCTGATGAGCTATATCTTGATAACCTATATCTAGATCACCCACATCTTGATCACCTATATCTCGATTACCTGCTTCTTGATTACATTCCTTTTTATTACTACTATTCGCAGTAGTAACAACAGACAAATATGTTCAGGTTGGGATTGCTCAGTAATTTCACTAGTAGGTTTTGCTCTGCCTGTCCCCCCGAGTGGGGCGAGGCGAATTTTTTTTATTCTGTTTTTTCACGATTTTCTTGTTCCTGAGTGGGGATTCTGAACATTGAATTTTGCAGACGTTTTAGGGGGGATAGGATTTCGGGGGTTATGGCTGGAGCTTTGGTAGGCAGGGGGGGGGGTTGAGACCCCAGGGTACAGATATAGGGTAGTTACCCACAGCAGGTCTGAGAACCGACTGGCCTAAGTTAGGGGACAAGCCAGGGGAAGGGAGGTAGGACTGTCAGCCTGGGCTCCGCCTGGCCTTGGGGAAGCTAGGGGAAGGAGAGATAGGGCTGGCCAGTTGTGGGTATAGACTACGAGTTAGCTGTCTCCGAAAAAGAAACCCTGGGGTCTGTTACAGGGGAGCCTTATTCTACAAAGGTGTTGCATGGTGGGAGGCAATAGCCCTATTGGGAGTAGGGCAGATCGGGGATTGTCTGAGTCTGGGGCTGGGGTTGGAGAGTTGGTCGCCTTCAACCCCAGCAGGGGCAGACAGGGACAAGGGGTGGGCAAAGGCAGCCTCTAGGAGGGGATTGGTTGCCTTCGCGGATGAGGTGGAGGGAGGGGAGGGGATCTGTTCTATGTTGGGGCCGAGGGATTTTCCTCGGTGGAGGCAGCATGAGACAAGGTACAGTGGGTGTGGATTGGTTTGAGCTGTCACCAATGGAATCGTATCTTCTTCACGATCTAATAAATTCGATGCCATCCATGGCCTTATAACCGTGGCAGCACCTGGTCTTCTTCTTTATTTAGGATACAGGAATTCAGGGATTGTCGAACCTAGACTGATGACTGCTGAAGTTGCTTTGTTCTGTGCTCCCGGATTGCCGATGTTGTGAACTAAGGGGGGCTACCTTGACAACTCATGGGGCGGGGTTAGCCTGGGTAGTGAGACGAGATCAGTTATGGCAGCGGGGGGATAGGTTTGTCCTGGTCCAGAGTTGCAATATCCTGGTAAGGGAAGGCTTGGAGTTGCTCAGGATTAGGATTCAGCACGAGTAGCTAGATTCCTTTGTTATCATCACTGGTATCATTAGTATCATCAGTAGTAGAA